CCCCAAAACCCCAAAACCCCAAAACCCCAAAACCCCAAAATAATTATCCATATTGAAATTTTCTAAACTTGGTTAGGCTGAGTGACTTCTATCTTGGGTGACTTCAACTGGGACATCGACTCACTGATATCTGCAAGCTTCTTCATTCTATCCTTGTATGAAAGATTATTCGGGCTCATCTCTTTTCTGACAGTTTTTAATATACTCTTAAAGCCTGACCCAATTTTGCTAAATCTCTCTCCTTTGTCTCTGAAGGGCATTTGATTCCATGAAGCTGAGTCTTGACTGGGAACTTTTGAGAGATTAACGATCTTTTTATCACATGAAGCTCAGGAATATCCTCCAAGAGGTATCTTACTAAGCAAAGCATCGTCTTCTTCTCCTTTCCCACTCTCTCTAGGCATAGTTAGCAATACTCCATATAGATCTCTGATCTGTGAGTTAATGTTTTTGAATCCAATTTTAGTCTCCGTTTTCTTCGAAAAATTCTTCTTAATGTTTTCAGAGAGGTCGTTCATTTTTGCCAAAATGTTGTCTTCAAGCTCAGTTAGAGTTTCATCATCAACCTTGGTATATAAAATCTCTCTTATCTCTTTAGCGACACTTGCGATGTCAGTTCTTGTGACTTTAACGGCATCAGTGAGTTCTTCAATTCGGAGGTTGACCATTTCAACCGAAGATAAATCTATCTCTTTATTTTCAAGGAATTTTAACTTTTTCTTGCTACTTCCTGAATCTAGCTCTAGGTTCCTGATACAAGCCTTATTCAGGCCAATTGCCTCGTCATGGTAGCTGATCTTCTTCTGGAAGTGAGGGATGTGGGTCTTCTCAACAATTCTTAGCTTTTTCATTATATTTTCTTGATTTGCTTTGTAAAGTTTGTCAAGTCTGTTAAATTTTTCCTGAAGCATCATAGTATCTGCAATGTTTTTATCAACCAAGGTAGTTTCGGCTTTATCAACTTTCAAAGATGAGAGATCGTATTTCGCTTCCTTCTCAAAACTTTTGAAATTATTCTTCAATGTGTCCACAAAGCTTTCTAGACCCTCTATCTTTTGTTGAAGTTCTTCTATGAAACGGGGTGAAGCAATAGAATGAGATGTTAGCCGTCTCTTTGAGGTGTCAACTCCTTTGCCTTTCTTGATATGAATGTTCATCTGCCTCTCGATCACCTTCATTCTTTCCTGTATTTCATCTGATTCATTGGTGATATCTCTAAGTCTGCCTAGCATATTGTCTCTGTGGTCTTCAAAGGCAGATCTCGAGAGTCTATTGATTAAGGAAAAAGTGCTTACTTTTCATCGATGTCCTTCTCTGCTTTGGAAGCTAGAAGTTTAATGAACTCATCTTTGTTCAAACCTCCAGTGGCTGCAGCAGTTGTTTTTAAATATTGCTCCATCTGGGCAACTTTAGCATTAGTACTTTCTATAGATTTTTCAAGAACTTTATCATTAATTTTGCTTTTCTCCAACAGATCTGCCGCAGAGTTCTTAAATTCAATGAGTTCAGTGCATTCCTTATTTACGATCCTCATTTTCACAAACCAATTGGTCAACTCTGTTCTTAAGGATATCTATTCTAAAGGCAGCATCGGCTTTAAAATTATCCCGTTGTTGTTTTTCATTAAGAAGTTGCATTAATATTCTCTTAAGAATGCCAAAGTCAAGGGAGATGACTTTATCGAGATCATATTCGTGTGTTGGCTCCATGGCAAATGACTTGCCATGGTCTATGGATTTAGCATCCTCCTGGCTGTTCATGATGTTATCTAAGAACTCCTGGTTTTCTTTCAGTCCACTTTCAGACATGATATAATTTTTTATTTTTACCTTCTTTCCATATAAGTTGAAGTTATGGGGTTTTGGGGTTTTGGGGTTTTGGGGTTTTGGGG